TTCTGAGTAGAATTGCTCCAAGTATTTTAGCATTCATTCAAAGTCATGTGGGGAAAAAAAAAGTCAAAACCCCAACAACTCTTGTATCCTGGTTACCATCCTCCACTATAATTATAAAATTGTCCTTAAGACATAATTGCATAATTAGGCTTGGCAAGTATTCACCCAAATCTTTTACAAATATTTCCACAGACCCAAGGAACAGGCGGTGGGCAGTCTGACAAGCCTGCCATGAGAATTTGTGCCCTTAGGACATGTTCCTAGCTATTACACTAAATACTTTGCATCACAGACTAATGTTTCAAAACAGTAGTTGAGCAAGTGAAATACCAGCATCTCAAAACAAATTGAGACAAAGATTTTCAAGCTATTTTCACTGACACATACATGGACCAGCAATCCCTTTAAACAAAGGGACAGAGGAGGGTACCGAACCTTTTTAACTAGTTACACAGACAGAATTCCCAGTGAGATGAAATTGGTTGATTTCTGGCTAACAATGCCTTGCTAGGGTTACTTTACCAGTCTAGCACACTGTCCCATAAGAAAAAAAAAAAAAAAAAAACACAAAACAAAACACCAAGAAACACCCACAGCCTCAAATTCAAATACGGAAACATGTGGTCTGCAGGGAGAGGAGACACAAGCGAAGCCAGAAATGAAATCTGCAATACAGTAAGGTTGTTTTTAACAGCTGTGCATTATGCATTCAGCAGCACAGGGAATGCCAGCAGGGAGCCTTTATTAACATAGGCCTCAGAGTACAGTGTGCTCCTATCATGATTGGCCTCTCTTGAGAGAAGGGAACACACATAAAAGACTTAACCCTAGAGAGATCACTCCAATCCTGTTGCTATTTCATCAGCTCGACACTGCAACAGAAACCAGAGAATTTCCATGATGTATCACAGACAAACAGGCAACACTTCCAACAATGCCTGAAATCTAATCTACAATAGGTTTCATCAGCAAGTTATGACAGGTAGGGAAAGGGAGAAAAAATGCCACACAAACCCACACAACAGTCACACTGTCAATGTTGTTCTGCTACACAGACCTCGGGTACAGGGGAGAACTATAAAATTCTTCTCTTGTAGAAGCTGCTGATAAAAGCAAGCTATTGTCAGGACACCTGTGTTCTCAGCACAGCAATCTGAACCTCAACTGCACGTATTTTAGGGGTCCATCAGTCCAAGAAACAGCTGGAAGCCTTGCTACAGATGCAGGGGCTCAGCAGGGTAACTCACTCCATTTGGGAAGCTGGTATTGGCAGCAGAAATAATTTGCTGATGCCAGCTCTGCCTCCACTCTGAGACTTGCCTCTATCACAAACACTTGCTAGCACAGCCAACACAGCACCGGGCAGACACCAGAGAAATAGGAAATGCTCTCAGAATAGGCTCACCACCTCTCCTGTATCAGGTGCTGAGACAAGCTCTCTAGAGGTCTTGTCAACAGCTCTAAGTTGCAGCTGGCTGCAGATTCTCAAAGTGCGTCCTGTCCTGGTGGGCGGTTCCCGCAGAAATGAGATGTAACCAGGGAAGTGAGGAAAAGATACACTAGAGGCCTTGAAATAATAAAAGGCCACTTCAGCACTGGTTTAAACCAGTCCCTTCCCTGAACTGGGGGAGAAAGGGCAATGAGAGGAAGGAGAATGGCATGAAATGTCCTAAGCATCCCTCTTCTGACTCTAAAGAGAACTCTCCTGATAGGAAAAGGAAACAAAATACCAACCTGAAGAGCTTGAGAACTGCTCTAGATGACTGAACACTGATGTGTACCTGAAGTGGAGAAAATAGCTCTATACAGTCTGTGCTTATTCATATCTCCTTGCTCTTTTCTCTTGTTAATAAGCAAATGCTAGGGTCAGTATCCCTAATAACATGAGCCGGTTTGAGGCAGCAATAGCACTAGAAATTTTAAGGAGTTTTTTAATATGCAGTGTTGTAGTTCCCAAGAGCATAATACATGACTTTTTTAAGCATAGCACATCTATGCACTAAAGCATTTTCTACTTAGGTGCTGAACAGAAAGAGAGAGGTAGTGTTTATTAAAGAAGTTTTCTGAAAGTACTTGTACTGCAGAAACAATACTCTCTAGGTTAGGTACCCCTAAAAGGTTTTTAATATGTCTGCTATGTACCTCTCATCACAATAGCAGCAAGTGCTTTAAAAATCAAAATATCATTGACTGTAATATCTTTACTTTATAGAAATACTCCTTTATCACTCTTTAAGCACAACAAACAAACAAACAAACAAACAAACAAACAAAAAAAACAACCAAAACCGAGTCCTGGGGACAATAAGTGATTAGCTCCTTTCATGACTGGCAGGCAGAGCCTTGGTCTCTCAGCCAGTCTGCTGCCCAGAAAACAAGACTGTCTTTTGTCCACTCTTCTTCTTGATTAATTCCCTCCTCTGAAGCTCAGTTATACCTGAGTCAAAGAGACAAGTATTTATCAGGCACAGCTCAGTGTGAATACAGACAGTTACCCAGTAAAGGAAACAAAACACACCTGTTGTTTCAGTGTAGGGTGTTGGCAAGACCATATGGTCTTGGTGACTGTAAATGGGACTGTGAATGCCCAGGAACTGCCCACATTCAGAAAATACTCACTTCCCCCACCAGAGAGGTAGCTCATTTGCAGTCCTGTTCTAATGCTTGGGGCACAAGATTTTGGACAAAGGCACAACAAGTAGTACCTCTCCCTAATTTTCTCATAGCCCAGCTCTTTAGATCTTCCTAAATTCAGCTGCTAACAGCCAGGGCAAGACAACACAGATGAAAAAGAGTTAATACAAATAGAAAGCAAAGATCTGACCTAGAGGGCAAGTCATTGCAGAGTACAAACATCTGAGATTCTGCACAAGGCCTCCTCACCTATCATTCATCCACCAATTACACACCAATGTAATTAAATCAGAAAAGGTACATTTAATTTTCCTGTTATCGCCTGATAAGATAAGAGCAGTATGTATGGGAGGGATGAGGCACAGGGGAAAGAACTATTTATTAATAAGTTAAATCCTTTTAGATTTAAGAGCTTCTCTAGCTAAGAAGGATCTGATCCACAAACACAATGTCTGGGTCTAATGCAGAAAAATCAGACATCCCATCTCCATTTCTGTCCTGGGCTTGGTCATTAAGTCTCTTCTTTTATTCAGAAACAAGACTTATTGAAAATTACCATGCATAACTTAGACAGACATATAGCCTTTGTTTAAACCACAGGTTTAGCCTATATATTTAAAATTGAAGAAGGCTCATCTCCCAGTCATTATATTAACAAAGACAACCACATTAATTTATGTTATATCTAAACAGCCTAAGGCTCCCTGCTTCATGAACAGCAAGGCATTAGGGTGCACTTGCAGAAACACGAGGCATGCTCCAGTTCATTCTTCTGTCTTCTATTGCCTTCTCTGGCGTGAGGCAGAAAGAAATGCTGTGGTCCCCGTAACCTGCAAAGACTATTAATGCTTAAACAGGATCATACAAAGCTGTCTCTACTTGCTAGCCACACACCCCGAACTGCTGCTACGGCCGTTTTCTCTCCACTCTGCTTCATCCCATCCAGCCATGCTTCCTCAGCCAGTTATTTAAACCCCTGACTGAAAAATGTATCAGATCATAATAGCGGATGACTTCCACTGGATCAGGTTTTCAATAACAAAAGTCCTACAGGCTTTGATGCAACCACAGCTTCACCACATCATTTATTTTTTTTTTAAATGGGAAGGGAAAAATATTTATAACAGCAACTATAAATATACATGCTACTGACTTTTCAACTTGTTGTCCTTGTTCTCAAGCTAAATTTAGTCTGCTATATCCTGTCCAGCCCTCAGTGAAAAAGCAGTACACACATAAAATTGTGCAAATCCCATAGAGCAGGCAATTATACTTATCCAGGTACCTTACAAGATAGCCAGCTGGACACAGATTCTCATTACTGAGTGTAGGTATGTTCATGGCTATAGAGGAAGCGGTCTACTATAGTGACTATCCTTTGATACAGAAAATAATAATTATTGCAATAGGAGAGTTCTGTGTTTATGGATGAGAAAAGCAATGGAGGTTATTCACAGTGGACATGCAGACCACACATTTGGTTTGTGTCAAATAAGCTTTAAGGGTGTATGTGCACCTCTGGGCTACAAAGAACCATTCACTGGCCACAGCAGCTGTTTACACATGTTGGTTTTTTACATGCAAAAATATTTCAGATAATGTTTGTGATAATGATTCAAACTTGGATGACTGATTTCAAGGTCTAATCTGCACGTTAAAGAGCATCCTTCTGTGTATTGAAGGCTCTCGTGTGAGTGATTTCTTAGTCAATTCAAGATAAATATTTATCAGAAACTGACTACCTAGAAAATCAGAGCTGTTAGTCATTCCACTGTTACTCTTAAGAAGCCTTAGTCATGCCAGAGCCCAGGTGATTTCTGCAAGGGTCAACGCATGTTTCACCCTAGTGTAAGGATCCCTGCCCGCGATTCAAAGTTTCACGCAGATGAGGACTCCCCCGCCACAATCTGACTTATTCTACTCGCAGCGAGTTTTGCAACCTAAGCAAGAAAGGCGGTTCAGAGGATACTCCTGTTCAAGCATCAGCTGGTCTAATAACCAAAGTATGCGGTCCGGATAAAATATTCGGGTTTACTACAGCCTTGATAGTTGGGGAGAAAAACAATAATGAGCCCGGCTCGCCTCGCCTCCAGCCCTGCTGGCTCGGCGTGTTTCTCGGGCACCGGTCAGCTCTGCAACCCAGCCTTTCCTCTGTGCTTATAAATACATCGCTGCTAAAGGCTAGTTGGATAGAACAGGAAAAAATAGTTTCCTGGGGATAAGACCCGCCCTGTGACCGGAGAGCCCCTCAGCCCGGCGCGCTCACGGCGGGGAAAGGGTCCGCCGGTGCCGCACTGCCGGGAGCCCTGCCCGGGGGTTCCCGGCCGGCATCGCCCCATCCCCGCCCCGCTCGGTCCCTGCCCTACCCAGCATGGAGAAGATGAAGTCCTTCGCCGTGTGAATCTCCAGGGCTCGCTGGTCGTCGTACTCCCTCTGATCGTGCTTGGTGAATTCCTGGATGAGTTTATTCAATTCCTCCACCCTGGCTCCCGATCGGAAATCCAGCTCCGGGAAGGGAGGCTTGCTGGTGGTGCCGGCGGACCCTGCCTTGCTGGCGAGAGGCGCCGCCATCTTCATGCAAAAAAAAAAAAAAAAAAAAAAAAAAAAAAAAAAAGGGAAAGAAAGGGAGAGGAGGGGAAAGGAAAAAAAAAAAAAAAAAGAAAGGAGGGGTTTACAATGTTGCAATGGAAGGAGGCGAGCGGCGGCGAGCCCGGGCGCGGGGCGGCCGCGGGCGGAGCGGGGCCCGGAGCGATATCAACAAGCGGCCCCGCGGAGCCGCCCGCCCGGGGGAGCGGAGCGGGGGCTGCGCTGCTGCTGCTGCTGCTGCTGCGGGGCCGCGGCCGCGGGGGGGTTGCTCCGCTGCCGGCGTCACGGCGGGCGGGTGCTGAGGCTGGAGCCAGACCGCTGGCTCGGGATAGAATTCTTTTTTTTTTTTTTTTTTTTAATTTAGATTTAATTTTAAACTTCAGCGAAAGCCTTGTCGTGCAAGTGGATTAATAACCGGTTGGGAACTCTGCTCCTCCCACATGTTCCCTAGGCATTCTATGTTTATTTTCTTTTTTGATTCTTAAGGTATCCGAAAATTGCTTTATATATATGCACACTTATATATATGAAGTAATTTTACCGTATGTCTTAAGAGTAATGACCAAGTAGAGTATCTTTACTGCTGTGCTTGAGACCAACCCTCCCTCGAAGCTCCTGGGAGCTACATAGACAAAGGGTAGGAGGGGAAATGGGATCTCAGAAGACTTGCCTGAGGTCAAGCAGCCTGTGGCAAGGAGCCCAGACTTCTGATCTCCATCCATTTTCCCCATCGACAAGACTGCATTCTTTTCCTCTATACGTATTTTTAATGCCTTCTAACTTTTCAATCTGGAGTGGTTTTCTTCTTTTCACCTGGTCTTCTGTGCCTTGTCCTGTCATTGAACATATGTAGCACAGTCCATTATGTACCTTAGTGCATCCTGGAAGAACTGTCTGTCTTCCTGCCCTGGGAGCATACAAATATAATGTGTTTGCCTTCTATAGGGCATTTCAGATGCTATGGCACTTGTGCAAACTGTTTGGCCATGTATTATCCTCTCAAGACTCTTGGCAGGAAACAAAGCTTTCAGCTCAGTCCCAGACTATGATAAATTGTGTCTTCCAAAATCAGGCATGAGCATTCAGAGAAATAACTGGAAGATGAAACTAAGCTCAGTGTGAAGAGGTTACAGGCTAGTTTCCCTGATACATAGTAAATACAAATGATAGTGTTCAGACCTGATCTTAGGGATGTGGCTTAGATCCTCTGAACCACCAATCTTGATAGAAATGGGAGTTCAGCACCTCTTGCAGTGGGACCTTATATGAAACAAGAATGAAAATCAAGGGTGGTTTGGATCCTGTAACAGAAAATACAGACTGCTCAAAGCAGAATGGCTGATGCCTCTGGCTTTGTCCTGTAACCACTTACACAGCTTTTGAGGGCACTGATATGCTCATTATCTAAGAAATGATGTCCCAGAGGTAAAAGTAGGCGTGTGTGTGTTTGTATGTGTGTGTGTGTATGTGTGTGTGCACATGCCCTCTGCTGGGTACACAGGCCCTGTTGTGTTCAGCCACTGCTCGACTTCACCATTGGAGCTTTGGTGATCAGCTGCATTGTCACATGAACCTCTCACTAGCACAGTCTGACTTTGACCAAACAAGCACCTTTCCTTTTCCTCCTTCCCCAGAAAAGCCTACAAATAAAAACAATTAGCAGATAGTGTTAATATAATGCAGGATCTGACTTGCAGAACAGCAATTAACAGTGTGCAGTGTTGGTGGCCTGCCCTGTGGGATTAGTTCTGCTAACCCGGCTCAGCCCATGCCCTCCTATACTAGCCTGCCGTGACCACTGCCTGTCTGAGCACTCAGGATCTCTCTCCTCCTGCCCCTCTCAGGGTTTGAGAGCCCTGGTTCTGCATCCCCGCGGTGTGTTTTTAGCTGGGGTGACAATCTCATACAGGCGGACAGCTCCCTCTTGTGATAATGCCGCTCCCACAGAAGTCACAGTAGCTCCTGAACCCCAGCCAACTTCAAGACCTTCTGTTTTGCCCTGTTCATCTCTGAACACCTGTAAGTCCCCCGTGTACCAGCCATAACCATTTTTAGCTGCGTGGCTATCCTTGTTTCCCCTTCACGGCATGTGAAGCACTGGCATTCATGCTGTGTGCCTCATTGGCACCACTTGGTAAAGCAGACAGATCTTTTTACACCAACTACACTTTTCATCCCCAACCCTCTTGCCTCATCTTTTTCAGGCTGGTGATCTCCACAGGCTTCATGGACTGTGTAGCTTTCTTTCCTAACCATATCATATATGCTGCTTCATATTTCAATACTGGAACTTCCAGTATTCTTCATGAGTATTTTGTCTCAGATTCTGTCTTTCAGTGGACTTCCAAATGATCACACCAACTCTCCACCCACTCTCAACCATAGACTTACAGTATCATTTTCCTCCCTCTTCATTTAACAGGTTTAAATCCCTTTCAGTGACAACTTCATAGCTAGCTTTCATTGCCTGAAGTCACTAAACACCTATTGCAAACATGAAACTTCAGCAACAGCTAAAGCCAGAAGCAATGACAATTTCAGTTTGATTTTCAGTCTTTTTTAATGGTACCTCTGCTTGAAGTTATAGTCACCTTCATATTTAGAGAAAGTTTTTGTTGGATCATAGTGTTAACTGCTCCATTCTTCTTGCTCATCTGAGTTTGTTACATTCCTGGTACTACTCGTTATTCAGAAATTGCTCAGAACTAAAAATGTGCTTCATTTAGTGTCTGAGCTCAAACCAAGACTGTTCAACAAGAGCAGCATCGAGCAAGCAGTTTTAATTTTCTTCAAGAGTCTCTGACAGGTACCACACCTCTCTGCCTCACCTCAGTGCTAGGGCAAATTCTCCTTCATGAAAAGCAGTTGTACTTGTGAAAGAAAGAGCCTTTATCCCACCTTCTCTGAAAATCTTTAAATGGGCTTGGGTTCCTCATTGGCAAGCGGGATCTGCCACACTGTCATATGCTTGTTAATACCCTTGAAACTGCATCAGCTTGCAATTTTACCTCATCACATCAGTGTAATTTAAGATCTCTGAATAAATACACAGTTAATTCAAGTCTTACGTAAATCAAGCACTGGGGATTACTTGAGCAAATAAATGAGAATGAGATTGCAAGTACGGTTGGCCACGAGTTTTCTACTAAATCTTTTTTCTTTCTGAAATGGAACTCTTTGTGGAAAAATTGCAGCATCAAAGCTCCTCTTGTGAGTGCTATTTGGGACCTAGGAGGAATCCATGGCCTCTGCCATACTGGCTCCAAGACTTACCAGTGAGGACATTCACCTTATTTGGGATAGGGATTGAACACCCAGACTACTAAGATGTTTCTCTCCTGCACTTGAGTCTGTGCCCTCCCTCTCACATGCATTCTTCCTTTCTCCCATGTGTTTTCTCTTTCCTTCAAATAGTCTTCCTCTTCTCCTCCTGCAAAATAGACTTCCTCTTCTTTTTCTCCTGCAGAACAGTTATCCTCTTTTCTGCTCAGTGCGACGTCCAGCATTTAGAAATAGAATAGGCCACAGTGAAATGAAGTGAGAGAGAAGAAATAACTGTTCTCACTTCTGTAGCATGACCTGAGACCTCAAAATGCTTTTCACACTTGGCTCTCTCATAGGCTCTCTCAAAAAACTGCTGGATAGCAAGTGAGTATTAATACCACGATCGTAAGAGTGGCAAAATGGTTCTGCAGTAGCTATGAAGAGCAATTGGCCCAGGATACCAAGGATGAAAGACCAGGAAACCCAGAGCCATCTCATTTAGATGCTCTAAACTGGTAGGGGGAATTAATTGGAACAAGATCCAGAAATAAGATGGAGCCTGAGATACATCATCTTGGAATATTTCACTGCAGCTGGTAATTAGAGCATGGTGCAAAATGAGCTAAATTAATCCCTCATTTCATAGAAATTGTACCTATTTTTTTGAGGTTAAAAGTAAACTCCAGAAACACCTTCCTTTTCTGTACTTGGCACTGAAGCAGCTGTAGCTCAAAGCTTCTTGTGGCATGGGGCTTCACCAGGAACAAAATTGCTGACTGGAAGTGCTCTATTTTTCCAACCTGATGGCTGCAATTTCTGCTTCATATTATTGCAGTACCTTCTAAGCTGTTCAAGGGTCCTTTGTGTGTTGTGTTGCAGAAACCTGGTCCTGGCCTATAGAACAGGCTGTCTGTGCAGCCTGTGACAAAGCAGGGAAGTGAGCTATGCGCAGAGAGAGTCACTCAGCAGCAGACCAAGGATCCTGCTGTGCCATCATCCTCCCTCTCCTTCGCTGGCTCTGCACTTAGCTCTCCTCTTCCCACTGACAGCTGAATCCTGGCCAAGATTTCTCCCTTTTCTCCTCCCTGAGCACCTTCTCTGTGTGACCTCAGTTCCCAGATATGCACCAGTCCCAGTAGGAAGGAGCCCAGGGAAGCACCAAACCTAGTTTCACATTCATCAGGACCTCACTTTCATTTGGCTGCCCTGGTGATATCCATCCTTGTGTCCTTCAGCTGCTTCATTGCTCTTCAGGTCTTTCCCTCCACTAGCAGTCCCTGGTCTGGTTCTGGAGTGAGGCATTTTGGGACTCCTGGGCAGGACATCATGCCGTGATGTCACCAAAGCACTTCTCGTGCTTCTTTGGATCAGGTCTTCCCCTCTTTCTGATGCCACAAACTTTGCCTCTATTTCACATACATGAAAAATATCTTCAAAATAGCACTTACAGGTAGCAGTCTTCAGGCTCCACAAGGCTGGGATTTACAAAGGCTGAGTTTAGTGCAGACTCAGGGCAAACAGAGCCTTTCAGAAGAAGTCTGGACTCATGATCTCTCCCTGGTTCTGCTAGTCAATTTGCATGCTTCAAAGGGGCAAGACTTGAAGGAATGCCAGTGAACATTAAGTCATACAGCCCCACCAGAGCACTCACAAACTCTGGAGATCTGGAACTGACAAGGAATCAGGCTCCTGCTCTGTATCCAGGGCTCCCTCTTCACTTCCCCCAT